AAGAGAGCTCAGCGTTCTGCCAAAGATATGCGTGCTCGTCTGGCGCCTGATCTCAGCAGCCTCCATCGTACTATCCTTGGCTGGAACTACTTTCACGAAGGCCCCTTCCCGCCCAAGTCTAGGGCAGACCAATACTCCAAGGTTCTCAGTACTTTCCGTACACCCAACGATTACCAAAACACCTTCGAGCCTCTTTTGACGCTGGAAGCATGGCAAGGGTTCGTCAAGGCCCGTGAGGAGAACCAGTCCAAGCCATACGAAATAAGAATCACGTCGCGAGCTGCTGTCGACATGTTCCAGGAAGTCGGTAGCACTATGACCCACGTCGAGAACAAGGAAGTCTTCATCTCTGAAGGAGACATCATACTCTTCTCGCGGACCAAGTCGCCTTCTGCGAATGAGCCAACGTGTCTTGCCAGGGTGTTTCGTGTGAAGAGGAAGCAGCAGCACATCGAAGTTTCGTACCGGGTCGTACCAGGCAATCCTCTGTCAACCTCACTGCAACCGAACAACACCATCCTCGGCTTCAAACTCGAGTCCATTACATCTTTAGAGCGCGAGTACGGTGCGCTGAAAGGTCTTCAGTACTACGATCTGTGTGACGAGATCATCCGCGCGAAGCCCTCTCCGCTGTTGACCTACAAGGATAGCCAGATCCAGCCGCTCATTGCCAACTACGACGTGAATCCGGCGCAGGCAAGGGCTATCAAGTCTGCCATCGATAATGATGCGTTCACGTTGATCCAAGGGTAATTCAAACATCTGCGCGTCGTCAAATAAGATACTAATAAGACTACAGGCCTCCTGGTTCCGGAAAGACCAAAACGATTACCGCCATCGTTGGAGCGATTCTCAGCGACAGTCTTCGCAACCGCGGCACCGCCATCGCTATTCCGGGCCAGCAACGTTCAGATACTGCTTCGAAAAAGCTGCTTGTCTGCGCGCCGAGTAACGCAGCCGTCGATGAATTGGTCATGCGTTTCAAGAACGGCATCAAGACCCTTAGTGGCGAGTCGCGCAAACTCAACATTGTGCGTTTAGGTCGTGGCGACGCTATCAAAGCCAGTGTACAGGATGTGACGCTAGAAGAGCTTGTCAACAAGCGATTAGGCGTAGATCCATCAAACGGCAACGACCGAGAAGCGACTCAAAAGCTTTTCCAGGAACACAAACAGATCTCCGATCAATTGAAGCAGGCCTACCAGCAGCGGGACACTGGCGAAGTTAAAGGCGAAGCAGCGAGCAAGCTGGACGACGATATCAATGCGTTGCGCAGGCGGAAGACAGCCCTTGGTACGAAGATTGACAACGTCAAAGATGACGAGAAGCTCGCCAGCCGTAACGCCGACCTGAACCGACGACGAGCACAGGAGGCAGTCTTGAATGACGCCCATGTCATTTGTGCAACACTCAGCGGCTCTGGACACGAAATGTTCCAGGGTCTGAGTATTGAGTTCGAGACCGTCATTGTCGATGAGGCTGCGCAGTGTGTCGAGATGAGCGCTCTTATCCCCCTCAAGTATGGTTGTGCCAAGTGTATTCTTGTCGGAGATCCGAAGCAACTGCCTCCGACGGTCTTTTCGAAGGAAGCAGCGGAATTCTCATACGAGCAGAGTTTGTTCGTTCGCATGCAGAAGAACCACCCAGACGATGTGCATCTGCTAGACACTCAGTATCGTATGCACCCGGAGATCAGTTTGTTCCCCAGTCGAACATTCTATGACGGCCGACTCTTGGATGGTGGCGATATGGCTGCGCTGCGCAAGCAGCCATGGCATCAGAGCATGCTGCTAGGACCTTACCGCTTCTTCGATGTCCAGGGTCAGCACCAAGCTGCTCCGAAGGGTCATTCGCTTATCAACATTGCTGAAATCAATGTCGCTATGCAGTTGTACAAACGAGTCACTTCCGACTATCCTGATTATGACTTCAAGGGAAAGATTGGTATTATCACGCCTTACAAGAGCCAGTTGCGCGAGCTCAAACAGCGTTTCATGAACGCATACGGTCAGAACATCATCGAACATATCGACTTCAACACCACAGATGCTTTCCAGGGCCGTGAAAGCGAAATCATTATCTTCTCCTGTGTGCGAGCCTCTACGACAGGTGGCGTTGGTTTCCTTCAGGACATTCGCCGTATGAACGTCGGTCTCACGCGTGCCAAATCGTCTTTGTGGGTGTTGGGTAACTCCGACTCGCTCATGAGAGGAAAGTTCTGGAAGAAACTTATACTGGACGCCAAAGAGAGGAAGCGGTTCTCCGCTCAAGATGTTCCAAAGATGCTGAATCAGCATTCCAGCAAGTTCCCGGCACCAAAAGAGGGTTATGTACAACCCAATCGTCCCACACCAGAGGTCAAGCTAGAAGTGAAGTCAGAGCCCATGAGCAGGGCGACCAGCAACCAGTCGAGTACCTCGTCAGACTCAGCACCCAAGGCTATCAAACAAGAGATCAAGTCAGAGATCAAGAACGAACGAACACTAGTACATCACGAGAAGCGCAAGTTTCAAGACAGCAATGACGCAGGCGCAATCAAGCACGAGAGTAGCGACGCCGAGATGGAAGACGCACCGTCTGACTCTGCCTCCAACACTATGAATGGTGGCAGTGGACGATCAACGCCGGCTGGCATGGCCGATGCCCAACGCAAGAGCTCGACGCCTAGTGGAGAGACGAGTAACGGAACGCATGGCGCGGTCGCTCCTCCGCCGGGAGATGTCATTGGCGGCATGTCGATGGCAAAGCCGAAGATCCGCAGACGACCTCGCGAACCACCAAACCCTTTTATTAAAAACAAGAAGCCAAAGAATGGCTGATTGTACATTAATTGGCCAATCGAAGCTGCTGGAGCAGCATGATTTCCTTATGTATATGATTTGGCAACATCTACTTCTAGCAGTATGTGGCATCATTTGGCGTGGCGGACACTTCCATCAGCATTGTCTGGCGTTCTGTCGCGTTTCTGTGTATATGTAGCTATCCGACATTGTTACTTCCTGGGGCCACATTGTTACTTCCTGGGGCCATATGCCCTGATATCGTATTAGATGAAGATCGGCCACGATGCCTAAAGGGGCGCTCTGTGGCTGAGATCTGGCAGGTAATGATCGACGTGCGTGCCGTGAGCTGAATCGCGTCGAGTGTGAACTACCGTACACCTTTCCCGACCTCGGGGAATATCTAAAGCGTGTCCTAGCCTAGGACGTGCAGTTCGGCGTCTTCAAGACATCTGAGCGTAGTGCATTGATCACGACTATGCGTGGTCGCAGCATCGCGAGTGCGTGAGGGCCACGACTTCCTCTGGCTAGTCAGGCGTTCCTGTACCACCGTGACGCACACCGCCCATTCTCAATTATTGGATTCTGCACTCCACCTCATTCAAGCAAAAATCGACAGTCCCTTGTCGCGGATCATTCTGCATCGGCATATGCCTCAATGCATCGAAGCGCGATATCAGCAAGGCGCTCCCCTCGTCGCCGGATCAAGCAAGCCGCACTGCCCTCAATCTCTACTTGTACTACATCGCCACCAATCACCGTCGTGCACTCGTACTACAAAGCAATGCGCCCAGTTATCGTCATCGGCGAGCGACACATTCTTCAGATCGTGGCTGGCTTGCAGCTCGAGTTCCGCGGCGATTTCCAAAATGTTTTGTGGGCAAACAATTAAAGTTTGTGCTCCTCGGCTGCAAACACCCTTTGCGTCGCGGAGATTCCACTACTTTCAAATGCTACTCCTATCATTTTGAACATTTCCGGGGCGAAGACATCTCCCGATCTATGCGACCTCATTGTCGGCTACCGGCTTCGCTGTCAATACGCTGTAGTGTCACGTTGCTCACCTCACGCCATTACGAGCTCGAGAAGTGATCCCTACACTCAGATCCGCCCCTGATTACACCACATCGCTTTCCTCCTGTCGAATTTGAGAATCTGTCTTATCTGCAGCAAGCTTGGGCGCGAAGAAAGCTGCCGGTCGCCATGCTTCCTAGACACTAAGTCCAGTCCCACGCCGCCTCTGCCAATCACCGAAGACAACCCTTCATCTACCCCTGCTTGGGGTTACAGCCAACAAGCAGCGGTCTTCGTGAGATACAACACTACTGCGTCTGCTGAGTTACCCATCTCCTGACTGTACCACAATCTGAGCCAGCTTTCCCTGCTAAGCATTACTTACAGCTCACGTTTAGGCATCGGGTTTGAAGGAGGACTCTGGTTCCCAAGTCGCCTTCAAGGGTACCTAGCAGCCAGATTGCAGTCATGATGTCGTCTGCTTCGACAGAAAATCTCTTGAACTCATTCCCAATGTTCGGGAATGTCAGATGGAGTGTTCTTGAATATACTGGGGCGTTGGGAGAGACGTGTAAGATGAACACAAGCGTGTCGTCCGAGTCGCTCAAGCGCAATTCAACGGCCTCGACGCAGGACGAAAACACCCCGCCGACCACTGCAGGGACTCCACCGACTGGCTATGGCTTGTCACCACCGGTGCAATTTATAGATGAGTCTGGGTGCCAACGAAGACGCAAAGGCTCTTTTCTCAACCATACCCCACGACATTTCGGAATGCGGTCTTCAAAGCCACTCGACGTGTACCAACCTTCCAGAAGTTTCAAAGAGAACTACTCGCGTCCCAGAACGTCTCAAGGGTTCCGTTCACTCAGCAATAATCGTGTCGCTGCAAGTCCACGTGCTTGTAGCTCGTCGACAGCATCACATACTACTGGAGGGTCCACCACGGTTGATTCTCGGGAGGCAGTCGAGCTTGACTCCAGAGACATCTCGTCGCCCTCGTCACTTGAGGTCTATCAACCGTCAGCCAGGCCAAATCGACGCTCGTCCTCCGTTCCTTTGGCTAGAGTGCTTACTTATGAGCCTTGCTCCACTTTGGCTTCCGAGCGTGTAGGCCGCAATGCCAGTATTGGAAACGCAAGCATCCCAATCAGTCGCCCACAAGACAAGAAGCGCCAGCGCCGCCAGACGCCATTCAAAGTAACGATGCCGAATCTGACGAATGCCGCACGACATGCGCCACTGGAGCCACTGGTAGCCAAGCATCGACGCAAGGCTAGCTATGACACCATGAGCGAGCTGCTACCTGAGATCGAAACCGAGCAAGTTGGGGAAATGGGCACTTTTGGGGTGATTCAGAGATACTTCGACAGCCAGACGAGTGGTCCAGTGTCTGTATCGAAGGCGATCTGCCACGCCTACTCACCAGACCCACGAGATGTTCCCCTCCCAGTTTCGCCTGAGCCTACTCTTCCGAAGTCGACCAGAGAGCCTATCGAGATCTATGCCATTGGTGAACCAGATCTGCATGAGCCACCGCCAGCAGTACCCGATCGAAGTCCAAAGCGACTCACGAACCCAAGCTTCCCAACCCAGATCGAGCCGGCCATCTCCACGCATGACGAGTTTGTCTTCGTAGATGAGGAGCAACATTCAATGTGTGATGACGACAAACAACTGGAGGGTGATCTCCACGTTCCGAAGAAGCGAGTCTCAAAACGCCTTGACGTAGGACAAGCTGGCCGCGTAGGTTCCTCGCAGGTAGGACGATTGGCGCCACCAATTCTCAGCCACGATGCACTGACAGCGAGTGCTGATCTTGGTCTGAATGATCTCAGCTACCACCTGAAACATACTGGACCATCTACAGACCCTCAGTCTACGGCCTCACCGCGTAAGCAAATGAAGCTGTTCAAAGTCAAACAGCGCAAGACTCTGGCTGCTCGCGTCGGATCCGTGGAAGGCTCTCCTCAGCGAGCACGCAGACAGGCGCCTATACCGACGTGCGCCCGCGAGATGACCACGTCTGGAGGCGCGCGACATCTTAGGATCGTCATACCGACCGAAAGCCCCCGCAACACTCAGGTGATTGCTGTTCACCCATCCCAACCTCCGAAACAACGACGTTCCCGACATATCGCCATCACATTTGACGAGGAGATGCTGAACCCTCTCGCCAGCCCGAAAGTAGAGCGTATAATGGCCAGCCATGGGCGTCGTTCGTTCTCCGAGCCGGCTCCTGTGTCGCCGCGGAGCCCGAAGAGGCTACCCAAGTCACCAAAGTCAGTGCCTGTTGATGACCATCCACTAGCGGTATCGCCCGCACGGTCAAATCGAGAAGATCAGACGAGAGCTCGGAAGCTGCGAGACTTGCAGCGCATCAAGCGCAAGCCATTGCCGACGTATCAACAGAAAGAGCAGCATGTCGAGCCGGTTGCTGGAGCATTACCGACGCCAGCTCACACACCAGAACCTCTGTCAGATTCAGTCGCGATTGACAGTGGCCATGACGACGTTGCCGAGGAAGAGAGTTCGGTCAGCAAGATGGCACGGTTGCAGGAGAGGGCCATGTTGCTGCAGAGACAGAACATGGAGCTCACAGAGGCTCTGGCGAAGATTGTGGGGCTCGAGCTTGAAGATGGAGATCTGAAGCCGGAGGACGTGCTAAGAGCAGTCAGGCAGGTCAAGTTCTCGCGATAAAGATAGTAATAGGTGGATGAGAGTGGGTATTCGATAATCGATCAATGCAATTAGAGATATCTTTAGTTTGTGTCTGGGCTCAATCAATGCTCTGGTGTCGCAATACGATCGTGACGAGCCGACACGAGGAAGCTCCTGAAGATCATGACGAGGCTTCCCTGAATGTTCCAAATATAGATCTGGTTCCTGAATGCTTGGCACATTGCCCAGCTATCACAACGAATCGTGTAGCCGCCTTGCTGAGTACCTAGGTATCTTGAAAATCAAACCGCTGCACTGTTTTCGTATATTCAACGTCTCAAGTATCGCTCTCAAGCTCACGTCAAGCTATCGGATAACCTGAAAGCCGCGACCTTCTCACCGCCTGCTTATCGATAAGCACCAAAACACCCCCGCGACCCCCAGTCCCGCGCGTTGGCACCAGCTGTGGAAAGACTGATCGATTGCGTCGCAAACCTCGTCACAAGCCAATTAGCCACCTGTACCTATACCTCACCCGCTCGAAGCAATCCATACATACGATGTCATCGTCCGAAGGCCCGCTCTTCAGCTCCGAGCTCATCTCGCCCGAAGTCCTCAAAGCACTCCCAGAAGGCTACAGCTGCCGACCGCTCGAGAGGAAAGACTACCACAATGGCTTCCTAGATGTACTGAGGGTACTCACCACAGTGGGAGACATAACCGAAGAGGTACGAAATCCTTCACAAATCCCTAGACCAAGCAAGACATAGCTCTGCCATACCTAATCCGAAACGAACACACGTATCACGAGCGCACCGCTAACGCATCAATCTCCCTACAGCAATGGAACAAGCGCTACGACTGGATGTCCGCCCGCAACGACGAATACTTCCTCCTCTGCATCACCGACTCGTCCAACGCCATCGTCGGCACCGGCGCCCTCATCGTCGAACGCAAATTCATCCACCAGCTCGGCCTCGTAGGACACATTGAGGACATTGCTGTAGCCAAAGATCAGCAGGGCAAGAAGCTGGGTCTGAGGATCATCCAGGCGCTGGACTTTGTTGCGGAGAAGGTGGGCTGCTACAAGACTATTTTGGATTGCTCAGAGGCGAATGAGGGATTCTATGTTAAGTGTGGGTTTAAGAGGGCGGGGTTGGAGATGGCGCATTATTATGGGCGGTAGACGTGGTGAGAGGGGGATTAAATGCATAGTGAGGGCGTTATTTGGAGGTGTTGAAGAGACTATTAGATCTATGGAATATAGACTATCGACAGAGTACAGCTAAAGCATAGATTTCTGGTATGAAGCTGCGCGTCAACGTCGCTCTCTTCAGATGCGTATATTGTGACCAGGAGAAGTCTACCGGATTTGCGCACCGGACCTAATGCTCTAGATGTTAAGAAATATACGCATCACGATCAAGAGTTTCAACGCAAAATAATATAGAGCGCGTGTTGTACTGTGTTTGTTGTTGATCCCAGGCATGTTGCTGCACTCTAGGGTAGTGGTGGATCAGATCAGCTAAACCTCGATTTGCTCGCTTGCACTCTACCACCAACACCATCATCACCGCCGCGCAACTTGAGAATCCAAGACAACGAGTACTACCGAAGAAGTAGCTTATTTCCGATGACGGGTGCTCCTGATTATCGCTTGGACCGCCGCAATCTGATCACTTGATTTAGGCAGGTGTTGAAATTTATCATTGTGGAAGAGTCATTCAAGATCAAGAAATAGACAATGGACAAGATGGCACACGACGAGCAACAAAAAAACTGCGAAACCGGAACGTCACAGATTAGCGAGAAAAACACGGATCAAGCAGAAGCGGGAAAAACGCAACCATCAGCGAAGCCCGAAACCCAAGAATCTGTAGGAGATAAGTTCTCGCCCTACGATATATCCAGTGCGCCCAAAGTCTCTACCGGTCTCCCGCCCGAGCTATGGACTATAGTACAATGCGCGCCGGCCAATCTTGCGCCTGAGTACTTTCTCGAAACCGGTCGCGACATGCTCGAAAATCCCAATCGAACTTCGACCCATCTTGCGCGCGCAGAGCTTTCCTACCAAAGTTTCACAGACGCAACGTACAATCCCAAGGCCAGTACCCCAGAGGAATTGGCGAGTATTGTCAAGCATCTACGACCAGAATGCCGACCGCAACTGATCGACAGAGGTATAGAAGGGTATGAGTTAGAGTACACGGTTGTACGGAAACTCATACCTCGGAATCCGAAGTTGGATGACTCGCTGATGCAGACTTGTCATCTGTTTGTATCGCACGAGGATGTCACTATCACAAGCGCAGATGAGAAAAAGGAGACTGTTAAAGCAGAGCGGTATATGGTTGTATACATTCCTCATGCTGCAACCTCAGAAGCCATTCCCTACTATCACCCCAAAGTCCGCTCGTTGGCCATGCTATATACATACTTTCCATCAACCTCTAAATCAGCACATACATCTCTGATCTCCGCACCCGGGCACCTGTCTATCCATTACTCCCTCTTCCCTAGCCAACCTCTCGATAACCGCCTCTCCCGCACTGGTCTCAAGCTTCTGGAAGTTATACACAAGCACTCGCGCGGTCGACAAGCTGGGTATAAGAAGCGTGTCCATCACGATCAAGTCATCAGCCAAAAGAGGTTCCAGGATACATATGCATTCTTGAAGGGCAAGTATGCGAAAGATTTGATTGAAGGATGGGTGGAGCAAACGCCTGCTGAGAAACATGTTTTCGAAGACCTGGGTATTGCTGCCTTCCTCATGGAGCTATGGACGGACATGTACGGCCCCACGAGCGACGCGGTCAAGCATGTCAACGACTTGGTGGAAGAGAAGGAAGATACAGCAAAGCAAAAGACCAAAATAGCACAAGCCAACTTCCCAGGCTTCGTAGACATCGGCTGTGGAAACGGTCTCCTCGTCCACATCCTAAACGCCGAAGGCTGGCACGGCTGGGGTTTCGACGCCCGACAGAGAAAAACATGGGAAACCTTCCCACCACACCACACTGAGAAACTGCAAGAGATGCTCCTCGTACCTGAGATCCTCCAACCACCTCCCTCAGACACAAATACCCTCTCAACACCCCACCACAACGGCGTCTTCCCATCCGGCACCTTCATCATTAGCAACCACGCCGACGAACTCACCCCATGGACACCATTACTAGCTCACCTTAACTCGTCCCCTTTCATCGCCATACCATGCTGCTCGCATGACTTTGGTGGAACGAGATTCCGCGCGCCGGCGCATGCAAAACACGTTATTCCTGATCCGATGACGGCGGATTCGAAGAAGCCCAAGCAACCCTCTGCATATGCCAGTCTGTGCAGTTGGGTATGCCATTTAACAGAGGAGACGGGGTTTGTGGTTGAGAAGGAGCATCTGAGGATTCCTAGTACGAGGAATATCGCTGTGCTGGGGAGAGTGCCGGCCAAGGAAGAGGGACGGAAGAATGATCAGGCGAGCGTGGAGGGAAGACTCGAATTCTTGAGGATATTGGTGGAGAAGGAATCAGGTGGGCAGCCGATCGGACAGACTTGCACAAACTGGATGCAAAGCGGTGATGGATTGATGAAAGCTGGAAAGGGCGGACATTGAGATGAACATTGCTCCGTCATACCACATGGTGAAGGAGTACAAGCATGAAACGATATATAACGGCTCTCTAGAATAGCATCAACAGTGTGCAGCTGACATGGTCATGCCATCACATGCACTAAGAGATGGTCAAACAGAATAGTTCACTGAAGGTTATGGGGTATCATTGAGGACATGGTCGTCCAAGACTGCATCATCGCAACTTAGACAAGCGATCCATTCGTAGTATCATCCGGTCATTTCGCCGTATCCGATCCCATTTTGTAATGCAGTAAAGCCCGACATGAAGATGAAACCGTATCTAGCCTTACTCCAGAAAGCCCTCAACTGCTTACGAAGCAGGAGCAGCGCCGCGTCCCCGGCCGAAGCCACCACGGAACTCGGGCTTGAACTCGCCAGGGGCAGCACCCTCAGCCTTCTCGCCAGCATCACGGCGGCGGTAGCCGTCACGGTCACCACCACGGTCACCGCCACGTCCACCACGGCCGCCACCACGACGCTCACGGTCGTCACCGCCACCGAGCATACCCCGGGGAGGAGCAGAGCGCTGCTGCTTGATGTGGGTCTGGGGAACGATCTCGGCGGGGAGGTGGAGCCATTCACGGAGGTAGTCGAGACCCTCAGGGGTGAGGGTGTAGTAGTACCATTGCCACGAGAAGCGGGTCTTGAGGTAACCGCGCGAGGTCAAAGACTGGCCTGTTGACTGTTAGGACCCGACGATGTCGCAGTGCAGTAGGTGATACTGACAAGCCTTGACGACGTAAAGGTTCTTGGTGTCGATCTCGCCGTGCTTGGGAAGGTTGAAGTCCTTCTTAGCAACCAGAACTCCCTCTGTGGTGACCGTGTGTCAGCCTATCCTTATATGCAGCAAAGCCGCGAAAATGTATGATTGTGCCATAGCCATGGCTCGAGTGCGCGGGGATACTAACCTCGGAAGAGGTACCTGGAGAGAAGAATGGTTAGCCAATGTGGTCAATTGTATGGAAGGGAATCAAGTGTAGCTCAGCCCATATCAAGTCGTATCATTTCGTGCGAAACTCAGAGCTCGAATGCGCCGTGGCATTGTTTGTTGTAGAGGTAGACTAACTCGTGGATCTTCTTGCGGTCCGCCTTGGGAATAAGCATTTTGACGGTTTGCGAAAGACTCGGGGATGCTGAGAGTTGTGGTTGAGGTCGATGAGGGCAGAAGTTCGCTGAGGGCAGGCGATTTCGAGTGATGGGTGCGAAGCTAGTCTAAGCGAGCGCTATGACCAGCTGTTGCGGTTCCGCCAAGGCCTGGTCCCCAATCTTCAGGACTCAGTCGCCTGCTGCTCCATCACCAAACCACTCTCATCCACCCACAAGCAGCTTTCACTCTAATCAGAGCTAAACCCCCCACAATCGCATTTTGAAACGATCGCGATATTCACCACACACGCGCGAAATCTAAAACACCGACTCGCAACCATGGACGCCGCCACCCAGTCCCCCATCACCGTCATCGTCAACAGCATTCGCGGGCAGAACATCGCCTTTGCGACGCAAAAGGATGCGCCTCTTACTTCCATCTACGATACACTCTACGAGCGCGCGCCATGGATCCAGAACTCGTCCTACATCCTGACCACCAACTCGCGCCGCTCCGTACGTCATGACGCTGCACCCGTGTCGTCGCTCCTATCCTCGCCTGCAGACACTTTTCTATCCCTACGCCTGACCGTACCGCTATGTGGTGGAAAGGGTGGTTTCGGATCTATCCTGCGCGCCCAGGGTGGTCGCATGTCCTCACGCAAGAAGAAGCAGGGCGACGTGAATGGATCATCCCGAAATCTGGACGGGCGACGCCTGCGCACAGTCACTGAAGCCAAGGTGCTTGCTGAGTACCTCGCGATCAAGCCAGAGATGGAGCAGCGTGAAAAGGAAGAGCGACGGAAGAAGTGGGAAGACATTGTGGCTAGCACCGAGCGGAAGCAAGAAGAACTCCAGAACAGCAGAGGTACAGCACGTCTCGACGGGAAATGGGTGGAAGACAAAGAGGAAGCAGAGAACAAGACGAGAGAAGCTATTGAGAAGATGCTTATGGCACAACGAGACAGCTCAGAGGAAGAGGACGAGGATGATGCTCAACCGTCCGCTTCTTCTTCAAAACCTGTGCAGCAACGGGCTATGTTCGGGTGGGACGACGAAGATGATGAGTTCATGAGCGATAGCGAGGAAGAGGAAGAGGTCTCCGAGGAGGACGTCAAGCCAGTGATCGAAGGAAAGGGGAAAGGCAAGGCTGTCTGAGATCCGTCGCACAGCCAGAATAGTCGCGGAGGCAATTTGATTTGAGCAGCATACAAAGGCGTTAAGGACAAGCTACACTATAGATACCCCATACCAATACACACACTCTTAGCACATGGGGCGCACACATTTCGCCCCATGGGTTCAGCATCTTTCTGGAACAGATTGCCAAAGCAAAAATGCCATTCTTCAACCAAGGTCCATTCCATTCGCCTTATCATCGCGTGTTCGCATGCTTCCATTAGCCGACGGATAACCTGCATATCAGAAAGCGGGATAGTCCCGCACTACTGTTATCGGACATCCGACCCGCCCCTTCCTTACGACTGGGCGCCTGTCATGTCATGTTATCCTTTGAGATGCCGACTTCCATGACCCGTGCCGCCATGACTTCCACCTCCTTCCCTCCTCACTTTTCCTCACATAATGGCTCTGCTGGCTAACAGATTCCCGACTGCACTCGGCATTGCAAGCAGACGCTACCCCGCACCAAGAGCTGCACCTACTCCAAGAGCAGGGATAGCATGCAAGCATGTCAGATGCTTCTCTAATTCGCCACGATGGCAGATCAGAACGAAGGAGATGAATGATGATTCGATGAGAGATCTGAAAGTCAACCAGGAGAGATTGATGAAGGATATACACGACACATGCGAATGGGGCATAGGCGAGCCATGGGGCGAGTAAGTAGTCCAGAGTAATGGATATCCCGTGGCTGACGATAGTAGAAAGCCAACGGAGACGGGTATGAAGCGATTGGCGCTTTCTGATGCAGACAAGACTGCACGTGACTGGTTTGCAGAAACAACAAAAGCACTCGGTTGTGAGGTTACCGTTGACGCCATGGGAAATCAATTCGCTGTGCGACCGGGACTACGGAACGACAAACCACCTACATTTGCAGGAAGTCACTTGGATACGCAGCCTACTGGTGGACGGTACGACGGAATCCTTGGAGTTACTGCTGGGGTGGAGATGCTCAGAGTGCTCGCTGACAACTGGACGGAGACCGAGTACCCTGTCGGCGTAGTCAACTGGACTAACGAGGAGGGTGCCCGCTTCCCCATGTCAATGGTTTCCAGCGGAGTTTGGGCGGGCTCGATCCCTCTTGAAACGGCGCATAACCTTCGCGAAGTTCATCCTGGAACCGCAACCATGAAGTCTGAGCTCGAGCGTATTGGCTACCTCGGGAGTACACCAGCGAGTTATGAGGCCATGCCCATGGCGGCGCACTTCGAGCTTCATATCGAACAGGGTCCGCTTCTGGAGATGGCAAACAAGAAGATTGGAGTTGTCACTGGAGTGCAAGCCTACAAATGGATGACCATCAAAGTCAAGGGACGAGATACGCACACCGGAACTACTGATCTCAAGTCGCGAGCTGACGCGCTGTTGACAGCGAGCAAAATGATCCTTCATTCTCATCGCCTTGCAACTGCCAACGCCGCACTAGCATCTACGGGTATACTCAACCTGAAGCCTGGCTCAACAAACACGGTGCCAGGCGAGGTAACTTTCAGCCTCGACATCAGGGCACCGAAAGACGAGACAGTCGCGAAGATGAAGGAGCTAGTCCTCCGCGATTTCCCCAAGATTGCCGCAGGCGAAGATGTTGAAGGCTCAAACCACGGTTGCACAAGTGGTCTTCCACTCAGTGTTGAGATAGTCGAGGATTTCGACAGCCCAGCAACCAAGTTCCACGCAGACTGCATCACGTCTGTCAGCCAATCCGCGCGCAGTATTCTCGGCCCTAACCAGTCTATGGAGATGACATCTGGTGCTGGGCATGATAGCGTCTATGCGAGTAAGCGCTGCCCGACGAGCATGATCTTCGTGCCGTGCAGAGAAGGTGTGAGCCACAACCCAAGGGAGTTCTGCAAGGAAGAGGACTGTGCACTTGGTGCCCAAGTTTTGTTACAGAGCGTGGTAAGGTTTGATAGAATGAGGGATGAGAGAAGGGTTTCGTGGAAGCAAGAGCCATATACTCTATAGGAAGAGCATGAGGGGCGACAGCTTAGCATGACCCGTGTAGTCTTTGGTAATCCACGAGCTCATTCGTTGTAGCACTGGTAATCAAACAGTTTCATTCCACTAATTCTCACGCCCGGCGAAGCGATGTGAAAGTTAACATTGACAGCGACCCAGCGGGCGCCCTAGAGGAAGCTAGAGTGCAGTAGCGCCGAATGTGACTTAGCGCCACTGCCAGATGGGCAACGCCCGAAAGTCCGCCCCCATTGCCTCCTCCACGTGCGACAGCTTTCACAACACACGTTCTTTTCGGGAGCTGAGAGCCGATAACGACACCATTCTAGGGGCTGATGCGATACTCGAATTGCAGAGGCGCTCTTCCGTTGCACCGCGCCAGAAAATCGCGTTTCACGGCGCGTTGCAGCTGCAATTCAGCCATGCTCATCCCTGAGGCACACGTTCAGCCCGCCAAGCTCAACACCCAGCATGTGCCTTTCAAACGGTCCTCACGCTTCATTAGTGATACCGCACTGCAATCCACCCTGAGATTTAGCCTTGGGAAACTTGGCATTTGTGACCGGATCGCACGAACAGATTGTCACTCTCGCGAACAACCCGGGCATTACAGATCAGCGTACAACACCACTTGACTATCACTAGTTTCATACAAAGTTCTCAGGAAGAGAACTGTCGCGATAGGTCCGTTCGGACTAAGGCTGACATTGCTGTCTGCAGGTGCTTCAACAGGCTCGCATGAGCTACCCCACGCTTAACCCAAAGTCCTACAAGCCGTCGGCATCCATGATACCCAAAGATACGAGATATCATTATTGGTGGCGCTCGGCCAGACCGATTTGTTACACATGCATACTTGCGCAGGAAGGCTGATACTTTGCTCTCTCAGCTCGTGGAACAAGGGTAGCCGAGGGTAGAGGCAGGTACAGCGCATGTGCACAAACCGCATTCCTCGCTGGCACTCACAACACTACACGAACTTGTTCTATACCGCGTTACCGTAGATCACGATGCGACCCAGCCTCCGCTTCCATCTTTTGAGTATCGCCGCGCTGGTCGCTGGAAAAGACATCCCCAATCCACAGGTACGGGCAACAGGAGTGCAGGTAGCGATCCCAGAGAGTCTCATCACGCCGGCTCCTGTTTTACATGGCGATGTATTCAAAAGATCCGTTGCGACGTGCGGCTTCATACGTGGCAACTCAGGTACATCGATCTTCACTTTGGGAAGCAGTCAACGTCTAACCTGGAACAGAATTACCCATCACATGTGCGGAGAACTATAACTGCATCACTACACGACAAATTGAGCCCGGCTTTGCATGTTGCAATAACGTTGAGTGTCTCGATAGTTGGGCTACATGCCGACCGTACGGCCAAACAGATTGTTTCGGCTATGACCTCCCAGCTGATACCTGCTCGTCTATATATGGCTCAATTCTTCAATGGTATGCTTTCTAGAGTTTTCCAGATTGAATGAATGCTCATATCAGACTACAGTTCGCAGCAAGCACAACAGTGCTTCCGATACGCTCGCACTTCTGCCCTTGACGACACGAATACATTTTACTCGTGGGCATGTGGGACAGCTTCAGATGACATTCTCGTGCTTGCGACAGCAACAGTCGAAGGAGAAGTTCTGACCGCGGATTCCGGCACCACGGGTATCGATGATTTCCTTCGATCGATCACTGGCGGGCTTCAGCCCACCGCCAGCAGCAAAAACCCTACGGCCGGTGGTAGTGGAGGTAGCGGTGGCAGCAGCAGTAATCCGATCAGTACCACTGCTATTGCACTCATAACGGTGGCCGGTATTGCTGTACTAGTCATCGCTCTGCTAATCGGATATTTCTGTTGGTGGCGCAAGCGATCTCGTGAAAACATCGACATCGTTGATAACAACAAACATTCTCAGTTGCCATACGAACCGACTGTTACGCAAGGCCCTCGTACCGAAGTCATACCCTCATACGGCGGTTCTCGGGACGAGATCATGGCCTCATGGAGTGGCCGGACGCCTCTCGGAGCGAATCCAAACGTGCCGCCATCTGAGGCTGCTAGTGAATGGTCTGGGCCCACTGCGAGTGAGATGCCACAGCGGATGTCAACAGTACATGAATCGGGCAGCAGCTTTGGCAACAGGTTTTATTGATTTGAACTTTTGATGGCTACAGAGACGCTCTGGTGGATTTCTTGAGTGGGGTGTTGAATACCTGTGACTTGCGTGCGACAGGAGTCAGTAGCGAAGTATTATAAATGGACGCATCAGAAATTGCCTCGTATCACTCCAGTCTCTCCGAATTCAACCCTGAGACCACTGTTGACTGAGATCAACGAATACAGGCAGCAAGCAAACCCTCCTTTCCCCTCATGCCGATGCTTCCCATACCTTCCTGGTCGCCTCTAGTTTCCGCACTTTATCGCTCTTAAACACCAACTTCCACTTACTGCTGTCGAATAGCTCGAGCAAATCGCATTCAGCACCACCATTTCCGCCGCGCGATAGCCCGACCTCGTTCACAAAGTTCCACTCGCGGCCACAGCGAGTGTCGCACTTGCATGGTACCCACTTCGAGAATCTTTTGAGCATCTCGCGCCGATTAGGGTCAATGTTTGTCATCTTGGTGATATCAAGACTAGATTCGACATGGAGCATGTACAAGATCGCCATCACGAACGGCTTCCGATGTATGCTGTTGCGTACGTCGCGCTTATCTCGGAGAAGGCGCGCCCAGGTTTCGAAGACGTGGTTAGATGATGGCTTCGCATCGGGGCCGAACTGCTCAAAGAAGGCGCTAACTGGAAGGCTGTTAGTCTCTTTTGGGGCTTGAAGTTGGGCTTGTGCTACGTACAAGTTACTTTTCTATCTTGGGGGTCGCATCTGTCGTATATTGTTTCGTACACGTAGTATGAGTCCAGAGTTAGATGCTGCCAGTACGACGGCGCATACTCTTTAATGTACTTGGGTCCTTTGTGCAGTGAATAGAATAGCTTCGTCACAGCAGGCTTGATGTGATTTGCAGATGGAGTTGGTGAGATGATTGGTTCTATTCGAGGTAGTAGTCAGCGTTGATCTACGTACGATGGAACATATATAGCCGAGTTGGGGGATTATTTATGTAAAATCCATTTCCTCAGCGACAGCGAGAGTCAACGCACTTTTCTCAGTTCCTGCCACTTTCACCCAGTGTTCCACCATCTCCATAACTTGCGCATCGTTACCATACGTATCAGTTCGTGACGCAATGATGCCCTTCTTGCTCGCTTCGTCAATCGCCACATCAGAGAGATCAGGAGGATTGAACCTGAAGTATCCGCCCCGGCTCGCCAACGTTTTGTGCGTCCGATGAAACCTGTTCGCTGTGTTCTGAGTCTCTGTTGCGATCGAAGCAATGCTCTTCGCGACCTCGGTGACCTTTTCGCCGAATCCGTGTAATGCTGGTCTGCCGGTACCGATTGATACCAACACTCGGATCTGCTTGTCGAACTCTTCTTCAGACTTTTCGAACAGCGACATCGCTTCGAGATAGAGTTCGTCGATGGGATTGTTGGATCCGATGCCTGCGTCAAGAAACCGTCTAGGCTCACCAGAATGTGTGATTTCCATCGGTGCAAAGAACGATGTTGCCGCGGACGTAGCACGAGCTACTTCCCAGATCTTGACTTCGTTGTAGAAGTTGGAATGCTCGCCGGCCTTCTCATAATCGGTGAAGCGTATCGGGACACGGCTTTCCTCTGTCATGGCAATCACAACCCTTGCCAAGTCAGCGTATGGTCCCCAGACGAAGAACGTTAGGACTTTACGTTTTACAAACTGAAGTTTTCGACCCTCTGAACCTATCATCTGATGTCCACCCAGCGTTGGACATCACCTGCTTGATCGCTTTCTCCATGTGTTTCGTCTTGTACCGAGGCTGAACTTTACCATTTCGAATTTTGAAAGGCAGTTTCTTGTCTTTTGGGTCGAAGACGACGTCCATCAGTTCGGTATACGCCTCAATGCACTGATCGACGGACATCTCCAGTCGACCGAGCATGATAGCGATCAAACCTCCTGTGCTCGTTCCGCAAATCATGTCGAAGTAGACACATGGTTTTGGGCTGCCAACCAAAGATAGTATCTTTCTCAGCATGTACAGTGAGGCCAGACCACGTACGCCTCCACCATCGAGACTGAGAAGTCGAAGATCTCCCGACATTGTCGTTATGTAGCTTGGTAATATTCGTAAATCCTAGATGCAAAGCGCATACGTCCGAGAGAAGGATGAAACGCGCAGAAAGGCGAATGCACAGCTCAACAGGGAGCGCGTAAAGACCTTGGACACAGATGTCACCGACCTGGTATAACATATCGCGAAACTCGGCTTTCGTTCCGATTTGAGTTTTCTTGATGTGAATCAGCTCTCGGCTAGACCCGCAAAGCCGCTGTTCAGCTCGAGACCGGTCGCTGAACACGGCGTTGGGCCTCGACCCCCACGATGCGGCGGCTTGCAATGCCAGGCTACGATTCGTTCGTACAATCTTACATTTGCGCATAAATGAACGACCCTGAATGGTTAGCCATGCTGTCGGGCCACACAAGGCTAAGCGGATGATGCAGACGACCAAATGCGAGGGGCAATACTGTGGCTTTTCTTGGCAGCTGAAGAATTAGAAATCGAATGACCTGAACACAACAGTCTTGGGGCGCATTTCTTAGGCATTGATTGCGAGTGATTGAACGCGCAAAAGTAAAACGATGCAATGTCACACGGAGTTCTCTGGATGCGCCGTCGTTAACTCCTCAGGAAGCTTGGCCGCCAGTTTTGCCCGCACCTTGTGACCCAACTCTTCAACCGATTCCACCAAAGCAATGTTGTACTTCTCACATACCAACTGTACGTTGCCTCTCTTCCAGAAACACTCTGAACAGCAAACAATCGCCTTGCCTGTTCCGGCATACAGTCCTAGTTCCAGCAGCGTGATGGGCTGTAATGCCTTAGCCTCGCCTGCGAAATAGAAAACGATAACATCGGCTATGCGCGCGTAGTCCATTTCCCATTCAACCTGCTGTTTGAAAGGCGGGAAAGATATGTCTTCGATCCAGCTGCTGTCCCAGTCATCTCGGCGTGGGTTCAGAATAGCAATGGGGAGGTCGGAGAGCAAGGCTGTGAGTTGAGTCTGCCAGTCCTTGTTGGGATCGGACTGAATAGCTCCAAAGAGAATCACAGACGGCCTATCGACTAATGTTCGAATGGGGGGTTTGTGAACGATGGCTTTGGTTGTGGAAGAAGACATGTCTGATAGAAGTTGTGATGGTGCGGAGGCTGGCGCGTGCTGGCGCTCCACAATAACCGCGACTTGCTATGACATAGTGATTATGTAATCTGTTATCCTGAAAAACAAGCGATCCTCCAACTCCTAGTTGGTACCAGCCCAGCATCCGACATCCATCGTAAACCCAGCCATTGATTAAATACCTTGGAAATCCATAAAAGCGTCGCAATGTCGTAAGCAAGCAATCATATCGATAGACGCACATTCAGCGTCAAGCGTGGAACGAAGCTTACAGGGCCCTGGGTGCCAGGTGCCCGTCTGGCCAGACCTGACGTGAGTATGGATTCGCAGGGTCGCCTCCGTTACCCCCTTCATATGTGACCTGGACGGTCCGCTCGTACAAGATAGCTTCCTCGCTATCATTGTCCCCCTTGTAGGAGACGCGCCCGGTCGGCACCTTGGCCTCTCGTCCCTCCGAGGCTTTATGTGCCACGCTTGCAAGAGGAATCTCATCGTCGCCGTCTCGTTGCGTGCCGTCTACAGTGCGCATCAACGTATCATACTTGCGCTTCGCGTTTCCATCACTTCCCCAGGTGCGCAGCCCGCGATTGCGACCTGAGGAATCTTTGTTTTCAGATCCGCGACTCTCGCCGACTAATCGCGGGGCCGCGTGTTTAAGGAAACGTCGCAGGGTCGGCAAGCAGCAGCATATGACGAACAAATTCGATTCGACGACGCTGTATTGTGGTTAGTTTGATGGATCCATAACGCGAAGAACAGGACAACGAAGCCTTACATCCACAAGCAACCCACCGCTATGATCCAGGTTTGGTCCATGTCTGTCAAAGCTGGGATCAACACGATGAGGCGAATGATTGAAGTGACCATTGTGCTACATTGAGTCAGCATTGGTTCGTAACGCGACTTTCCTTCCCGGTGGACACTTACATTGATCCAACACAAAACATGATCGTCAGTCCAATCTTCTGTTTCGTCGGCATTTGCAAACCCCAGACGGTCGGAATGGGGATGGCCATCAGCATCACATCCGTCACGATTCCGATTACAGCAGTGGCAATATAGATCGCCCCTCTGTTGACGCATGTTGCCGTTGCGAGCAGTAGAGGATCCCAGCTAGCTGCAATTGGCTTGCAAGCGAATATCAGACTGAAGAAGATCGCTGTATACGAACCAGCGCAGACGAAAAGGGTGATCCAAACAGCCCATTGGAAGGCTACGGACGGGGAGAGACGACTGTAGAAGATGCAGAGTGCGACCTTCGTTAGGGCTGTGCAAGGAGCATACACGACTGGGGCGGCCAGAATGAGCTGTCAAGTCGTCGAATTAGCACATACGCAATAAAAGTAGGTGAGGGAACGATTTGTCTGCTTACTCGCGAATAAAAGCCAAATTTCTCGATCGAGATTTCCCAGGCGTGAACGCCGATACTACCGGTCGAAAATCCAGTTACCAACAGACCTTGAGTACCAACTGAACAAGCCCAACCAAGGAGGAGCAACGCTAACCTCTGTCAGAAGAGTTATACTGCCACTGTCATCGGACACCATACCATCGTCAATCTGGAACTGCTTCATAAGCCGAATCTTGGTGTAGAGCCGCTGCCCAAGAAACGCAAGGGCCAAGATGTTCTCGACAATGAAGACCACATACGTCTCCGTCACCAGCCTCCGCTGTGGGTTCGCGAAGTCGACCTCGTAGCCATTCGGTGGAGGGATAATGGTTGTGACGCCGTTAACTGTCGCCATGACGTAGCAACCGTTGGACAAAGAACGGGTAGTTGATTAATGAACAACGGTCTCGGGAGCGGCAGCTAAAGAATACTCCAACGAGGGAGAGCATGCACGCCTAGGACTCTTGAAACCTTATTCTCCTACTAGCAGGCGGAGGTGCTTCACACATAAGGTCGTGGAGGCTCGACGGCCAAGATTCCGCTAAATTCCCAGTCCAGGGGCGGAATAGATGGGGAGTGGATGTGAACGACATTGATGTCGATCGCATCGAAGTACTCGCCTGGACGTGAAGGCCCGTCTCGGAAAACTTGACTCCTTCGCTAGACGTTTGACCTGGATACGGACATGGAGGCACAATAACTACCGAGAAGGGGTCCGGGGTCTTGCTCAGATAGATACGACACCTTCATGTGATCGGGGAGACCATGGCCAATGCACGTTGGGCTGCTGGTATACTGACTTCAGATCAGTTCAAATCATGTATCAGGCCTCCATACTCCAGTCCACAAGACGATCCAGTGCTCATCTGGTTCATCCCACAGTATCCACTGAACAGATCGGAAGATACGATAACCGATATGCTCTGAGAGTCATGGTGAACACCTCTCAGATCCGCATTTCTGAAGCACGGTAATTGGCCGCGATGCGAGCGAAGAGTCGATGCTGACGCGTGCGATGAGGTTAGGATCTGATCCTACAGATCGAAAACGTTGAAACCCCGACGGGCAAGGCCGACACTAGCTATTCCCGTAGCTTGTGGGTCTTGCGTTCGGACCGCCCGCGGCATTGGTCTAGAGTGTGATAGGTTCCATTTGACCGTCCCGTGCTCAAGGATATTATTTGCCTATCATATCGATCAAAATTTATGGGGCCCTCGTCTCTTTCCTCAGGGACCAGAGGAGCACACCCCTCCTTCGGGCTGATGCGCACACCACGTGTTAGAACGGCAGCTGGATATGTACAGTTCTGCTATACATGTTAAGATCCGCATAAGAGCCGCCTACCTAGGTAGGAGGAAGACTGTTCAGGTTTAAATGCCAAGTTGGAGCGATATCTCCTTCGGGTGCTGTTAGCCGCCGCTGGCATGGTAACTGCAGCGATGGCGGTAATAAAACCTCAACCGACCCGGCATATCGGTCCAACAACATCTTTTTCGAGTGTGCTAAGTTTTAGATTTGAGACAGCATGAAGCTCCTTGCACCGGCTATTGTTGCATCTCTGGGATTACACGCCGAAGCTGCCCAGTCCGGTGCGCACAAGAACGTGGTTCTTGGCAGTAAGAATGACAGTTGCGTGCGTGACGGGTACTCCCTAGTCAAACTTTGACCATTGCTGACCGGCTATAGTGTTCATCGCTGGAGGTTGCCGGACTGAAAAACGTCTTCTACGAAAATGATGAACAGTACAAGAACCGAACGGCATCTTACTGGTCGGTGAGTGCTCAGTTGCAACCCAACTGCATTGTCCAACCGGTATCAACCGAAGAGGTGTCGACTGCGGTCAAGACATTGGGTGCGCAAAGCACCTGTAAGTTTGCCGTTCGAAGTGGTGGTCATTCGACCTGGGCCGGGTCCAACAACATTAATGATGGCGTGACACTCGACCTCGGTCTTATGAACACAACTATCTATGATGAGGCAGCAAACCTCGCACGATTCCAACCTGGCACCCGATGGGGTGGTGTTTATGGAGCACTTGAACCTTACGGGGTAACTGTCGCGGGTGGACGAGCAAGCAGTGTTGGTGTTGCCGGTTTCTTGACTGGAGGAGGAAACTCTTTCTACACTGCGCGAAGGGGTTTTGCTTGTGATCAGGTGCAGAATTTCGAGGTTGTCCTTGCGGATGGGTCAGTACTCCGTCGCATCATCACACCATTCATGACTTGCCGCTAACACCAAGCAGCGAGGTCGTCAACGCAAACGCTACGTCAAACAGTGACCTCTTCACAGCCCTCAAGGGTGGATCTTTCAACTTCGGTATCGTCACCCGCTACGACGTGCAGACATTCGCTGCCGGAGACCTCTGGGGTGGTGTCAGGGTTCACGACAAGAACCACACACAGCAACACGTCGAAGCTTACACGGCATGGGTCGACAACGTCGAGAACTACCCTGACGGCTCCAGCATCGTGTTCTGGAGCTACCTACCCGCCATGAAGGATATCGTCATCATTGCTGCATACGAGGATGTTGCCGGAAATGTAGCTCCCGCAGGCTTCGACAAGTTCATGGCTATCCCTGCTCTATCCGACACTACAAGGAAGGCAAGCCACAAGAACCTTACTGACGAGCTTGAGCAGCCTACTGGATACCGGTATGTTATACAGAATGCTGCAAAGTAATCGACTGACCAAGCTAGTGACATCTGGTTCACCATGACTTTCAAGAACGATGCCACCGTATTCAAGTACATTGTCGACGCCCACACCAAATTCGTCGAAGCATGGAAGGCGATCAGTACCGACGGCGACTTCATCACTCAGTGCATGTTCCAAGCCATCCCGACCACCTTTGCTGAGCACAGCAAGGAACGCGGTGGAAACGTCATGGGTCTTGATCTCGTAAAGGACAACGCAGTCATGCTTCTTTTTGACATTGCTGTCAAAGGGGAAGAGACCGAAGTCATTGCGAGGGAGGCGCTCAGAGCCGTCACCGAAGAGATGCAAAGATTCGCTGCCAGTCAAGACGCTCTGGTAGACTGGCAGTACCTAAACTACGCCGACGCTTACCAGGACCCACTTGGTAGCTACGGCTCCGCAAACGTCGCTAAGATCCGGGCTGCGGCTAAGAAGTACGACCCCAAGGGTATGTTCCAGACCCAAGCGCCTGGTGGATTCAAGATCTCAAAGGTCAAGAACTCGACTTTTGTCAAGCAAGAGTTGTAGGTCTTGATAGCGCCTCCGCTGATGGCAGCGATTAACCCGACGAAGAAGAGAAAACTTTTCATGTACTCTTAGCAAGCCACGACGTAAGATGCGTCCAGCTTGAAGAATCTTCAGTTTTATTTGTTCTGCCTCAAAAAGCACCATAACCATTACCTTCATAGCTAGGCGCATTCAAATGCTCAATCGCCCTGGACCTCAGCTCCCTATTTTGCTGTCTCCCCTCAACTTCGTCCCTCAACTTCGCCGCCTTCTCAAAGCACTCTTCCGCCTTTTCCGTATGCCGCGCGATACGAATATACCTCGCAACTAACGGAACATACCACTCGACAAGCTGCTTTGCCGTAATTCTTTTCTCCTCGTCTCGTTCCCACATGCTCTTATACCAGGTGTTGAGTGTTCTAGTATACGGCCAATGCTTCCAAGCCCTGTACGCGTCGGCACCGTTGGCGCAGATGGACATGCGGACGTCGTGGTGATTCATTAGTTCCTCTTGTGTAGCGTCGAGGGGGCGATAAACGGTGGGTATGAGAAGACGCCATTTTAGTTGTTTCCAAGCGCCTTCGTCAATCAGGGTAGGTGCGGGTTTCTTTGCCTTTATCTGACTCTCGACGAAAGCCTCCCGCGGTTGGACAGGATATGTTCTCAAAGCGAGCGTTTGTAAGGTCGCACCCAGAGCCCAGATATCAACGGATGGGCGCTGATTCTCTTGTTCAACTAACGGTGGTGCGTATTCGGGTGTACCGAGAAAGTCTTTTTTGGGCTTCTCGCCTTCAAGTAGAGGATATCGTGTCATACGAGCGAAGTCGGTCAATCTGAATACCGGTTCATCGGGGATCCCATCTTTTGGATTCCAGCCTTTGGGAAACTCGACTAGGATGTTGTCTGGTTTGACGTCGTTGTGGACGAAGCCAAACTCGTCATTCATGTTGTGCAAGTAATCCAGAGCAAGGGCCATGTCGCGAAGACACTTCCAGATTGTGACTTCGGGTGTTCGTATGATAAGTTTTGAATGCCGGAGTTGCTGTTCTTTATAGTCGGCCATATATGCACGAAGATCTCCTAGCTCGCAGAATGGAAGAAAGATTGCTGGGGCCGCCGGATGATGGTTATGCGACCATGCTAGCATTCCGGCGATGTGCTCATGCTGACCGAGGATAGTAAGATTCTCGACTTCTGCTTTGATGCGCTTTGATGCTTGAGATGCGTGGTAAGGAGTGTTGTACGCGATCGGAGTCTTTACTGCAATAAGCGCTTTGGAATATTTGTGTTGGTATGCGTAGACCGTGCCATCTCCGCCCTCCCCCAACCAGCGTGTTTGGTTGAACAGCCTTCTGAACTTTGCGTAGTCTTCTAAATCACCCGTGTTGAAGGATGAATTCATGCTCGCCTTTCTTCGCTCCCCGCTAAGATCCAGGAAGATTCGGCTGATGTGCTTGAGTGAATCCATTTTACAAGGGTGGGGTATATGGAATTGAACTTACAGCACTGTGTAAAGATACGGCTTGAAAACACAGAAGTCACTATTATATACTCACAAGGTGCTTCGTAGGAAGGTGTCCTAGCATCTTGAACTTTGGTTGGCGCTGACTGGTGGTGCGATGACACAGCAATACGACCCACTCACAGCTTGCGCAAAACAAATCGTACCATGGAAAGGGATAGCATCGAGTACCAAGTATTCCAGGTGTAGTGTAACTTAATTTGGCAAGTATCGTAACGACAGTGGTGACAACATCAGAATCGTCAGGCTCCTCACATCTCCCCACCAATCTTGACAGCGATCTTGCCCACAGCACTCTGCTTCGCCATCATCTCAAATGCCTCAACAGTCTGGTCGAAAGAGTATTCATGCGCCACTACTGGCTTGATATCGTGTGCCTCAACGAACTGCGCTAGTTCGACAACTGCATCACGCGGGAAGGCGCAACATCCTTTCACTGTGTTTTCGTTGTCAGCATACTTGGCATCTGATACAGGATGAATAGTCGGAGGCTTACGAGTCTTCGCAGTGAATAGAATGCTTGGGACGAAAGCAGCGTCGATAGGTGCATTCGCTGTCAAAACGCCGGGCATGCTGATCAAACCGCCAACGCGGGTGCTGTTGATGGATTTCATCAACGTGCCTGCACCACCTGTCTCGATAACATGGTCGACGCCCTTGCCGCCAGTAATCCGAGAGACTTCTTCGTCCCAATTTGGCGTGGTGACATAATTGATGAGGTGCGTCGCACCGAGAGTCTTCGCAATCTCGAGCTTGCTGTCCGAAGAGGAAGTAGCGATGACCGTTGCGCCGAGAGCCGAAGCAATCTACGTCCTATCAGCAACAATCATTTGCAACACACATGACGACTTACCTGGATCGCAAAGCAGCTAACCCCACCAGTCCCCAAAGTAAGCACCCACTTCCCTTCCAATCTCTTGTCAGTCCAGCCCCCCATCCAATCTCCAACACTCCCATCCAACCTTCCATCAAGCTGCCCACGAATCGCAGACCAAGCCGTCGCCCCCGCCGTCGTCAGAGAGGCCGCCTCAACTGCCGTCAAGTGTTTTGGCTGCTCCACAATCCACTCATCGTGCAACACAAGATACTCCTGCAACGTGCCATCCTGGCTTGTGCCGCCTAGGATCGTGGCAAAATCTAGGTTGCGGAAATCTCCTGATAGCCATCCGTTCTGGTTGAACATGACTGCGAGTCCTTTCTTACCAGCCCAGGCAGAGTCTAAGCCGGTCGAGTGGATGATGCCGGCTCCGTCGGAGCCGGGGACGAGGTCAGATTTGTGGTCTCCTGGGTATTGAGGGGAGCGGGTGGAGACGAGGACGTCGCGGTAGTTGAGGGATGCTGCTGTCATCTTGAGGAGGACTTGTTTGGGCCCTGGGGTTGGGATGGCCTTTTCCTGTTTCCTTAGATCGGACAGCTTGGTAGCTGTGGCAGGAATGGTCCATGCTGCGTAGGTGGTTGGGGTAGACATTGTAGAAGTGCTCTTCTGTCGATGGTGACTTAGTAAAGATGATGAGGTTCTGATGTTTATCGTGAGCTGTAGTAAGAATACTTATACCACATCCTGATACCTCCACCAATACCGAGATGCAGTCAGCATGCAGCGACACCGAGAATGCTTAGCGAGCATTCACCCAAGGCGTCCATTTCTGGTTTATTCCGCGACAACTTCCAACTCGAGGTTTTACAAATGCGTTTCGAAAAGTTGAGGTTCATGGCTGATACGTTGCGACGTAAACTTCGTGATTGGATGCAATACGCCGACATTGGTAAGCAAGGCGAGCAGCGCGATTTCGCAACACATACCACCGGCTACACAAGGATATCCTCGAACGCGAAAAACTGCAAACATCAGAGACTTGGTAAGCAAGGCAAGAAACAGCGTCAATCAGTGTTTATGACGCGCAATCGTCATTCCAAAACTTCTCTTGCTTCCATCTACGCACCATCCTTCTTCCTCTGCCCAACGAAAAACCCCAAGCCAAAATCATCCGTCTTAAACGTAATCTTGCTCCCCTTGGGAAAGAAAAACACATCCCCCTTCTCAGCCTTCACTTCCTTGCCCGTCTCATCGCTGATGTAGAAGTGGCCATCTACTATGATCTTGATCTCATCGTACGTGTACGTGTACACGAGTGGTGTTCCCTTTTCAAGGCGGTAGAAGCCGCCGCTGATGGGCTTGTCTGGGTCTGTGGACTCTCTGGTAAGAAAGAATTAGTTCACTGGAGTGGGATGGCGGAAATTAGGGAGGCTCGACGTACGACGATACGACGTCACCGAGGTAGGCGTTCTCGTTGGCGATTAGAGGAGGCTTGAAGCTTGTTTGCGCTTTCTCGAAGTATTGCATGGCTGGCATGGTGTCGGTGGTTGGTATGATGTTGATTGTTCGGGTTATCTAGGGGTATTATAGAGGACGCTGTAAGTGGAAGGCGCGAAGGCACAACCGGCCTTATGTACTACAACCTTATCTATCATCGCCCAATCTTCAACACTTACGGCGTCATCAGCTTCTCAAGTTACAATCGATCAACCAGAGTTCCCCTGCTTCTGTCATCCAGTCAGCCGCCATATAGGCGTAGAGCAGCGTATATCTGGGACTTTGATACTGCATATGGCGCTTGGCGTGCGTCAAACACATGGCCGATTTGGCGGGCGTTCTGCTAAGCTTTCCGATCTTATCCACGGCCATCTATTAGTGTGCGCTGCAGGTGTTGAGCGAGACGACCCCGAAACGTTGGAGGTAGCTGGGGATAGTGGGGTGGTTCAAGGTGGGGCAATGAGGTGTAATCTGCGATTGGCTGTGAGCTTATCGTCAGGAAAGGATTACTCCATCTGGACGTCGTGCATATGTGAGTTAGTGTAGTAACGTGGGTTCAGACTATGACTCGAGGAGGCTTTCGCAAAGCGGAGATGCTGGTTGCTTGAAAGGGACGATTGCGCTGCGTAGTAATCCTTAGGACTGCGTCTTGAATTCTGGTAATACATTCTGGGTATATTCAAATTAATGGATGCGGTAGTGATATCATGCAGGTCGTTCTTCTTCATGGTCTTCGTCCTCTTTCCACTTCTTGCGCCACCACTTCATCTTGAACCAGTCGCCCAAATTATCTTGGCTTTTGCTCCCTTGGCCGTACCCCCAGGTCTGTCGTCTGCGGGATGTTTCGTCCATGTCTGTATCGGAGATATCTCCATCTTCTGGATCGGGATGATCAAGAAGTGATGTTGAGCTGTCCATGGGCTTCTTTCCTTGCGATACGCTCCTGCCTCGGCTACCAAAGCCTTCGAACCAGGACCGTCGACGCATCTGATTGAGCCACGCCGACTGCGCAGCATTCCTTCGTGGAGGCAAAGTTCCAGATCTTGGTCGTCGTTCTAGATCCACGGATCGCCGAGCAGGAGAAGGCAGAGTCTCTCGGTCGTTGAGCTCATCCCATATCTCGTTTGTCTCTTCCGATATGGTCATCCTCCGTCTCCTCGGCAATCTGCGGGATTGTATAGGACTTTTCAAGTCACCGGCGTCTACCGATGCTCGCTTCTTCGGATTGGCGAGTGTCACCGCGGGACCTGTGGGAGCGCGGGCCAACAGAGGTGTCCTTTCGTCGACCGCTTTCCGTTTGGCTTGCTCCGAGGCATAGCCATGAACGCCTGGGGCTTCTTCGTCGATGTCCAGAGGTGAGTCGGGTTCGTCGTGGCTATGGCCATGCGCAAGGCCGATGCCGGGTTCCAGCACATTGTGAGGCATCGGAACCCTGCCTGTGTGCTTGCTTGCTACTGGTGACATGGGCTCTTCCTCGTTGTCTTCAAGTCGCCAGCTCAAGCAGACAACTCCCGCAAGCAGAATAACAGTTCCAAGCGCGATCAATCCAGCGTGCAGACTCGACAGGCGATCGTTCTGGTCGAAGTAGATGAGTCCGTCTATAATCGCGATAATGTTGTACACGCAGAAGACCAAGGGGTAGAGCACGCTTGTGCTAACCAACTTCAGTCCGCGATGCATGTAGTAGAGTTGAGTCAGAGCGAACACAACCAGTCCAACTAGGATCATCCACGACTGCCAGCGGTCAAACTGATTATGGCGGTCGACGAGAGTCCGGACAAGGAGTTCGACAGCGCTCTTTGCGATTAAGAGCGAATGCGCGGAGAGGATGCCACTGACGCACCCGAAGAGAATACCGCGTACGAGGCGTTGCCGAGGAGTGGTCCGCGGATGCATGCGGTGCAGTAACCAAGTGGCAATAACCAGCATGACAACCACTATGCCCGTCATGACCATCCATACAATGAAGGTGTTCCGTCCCAATAGCGCCAGCAGCTGATCCAGGTTATGCGACGGTTCCGCAATGGCACCGAACAAGGCGATGAGCAATGCGCCTATCGCAACGAGCATTGTGCCGACGAAGGAATATCGCGTGAAGGGTTCGCTGAGGATTATGGAGGCGCATATCGAGTTGAAGACGAGGCCGGATGCCTGCAGGGTGGAGAGGACGGGAAGGGGGAGGGTGGTGATTTGAATAGTACTGCCGACGATGTTTGCCACGACGAACATGAGCATGCCCAGCTGTATATCTGTTAGTGAATCGTCCCCGAATGCGCGAAGGGTGTGCGTGCCTGCCATCTCCGCCGCTTGTATGGGGGTCGCCTCTCATCGTCGTCGTCCTTCTCTTCCTCCAAGAGATGGGACTTTCGCTGCAGCGTCAGGCCAACGCTCTGGATGCTGGTAGAGGCAAGGCCGACCATTACTCCAAGCTGCATGTCCGTCCGTTAGCGCTCTATCCCGCTGGTGGTATGGCGTCCTGGGTACTCACAGCAACGCTCGCGCCCGGCGAGAGTTCCACCATGGTTCGTGTCGGCTGTCGTCGCTGCACTGCGCGTATCGCTACCTAGTCGTCGGGCGCATGCTGTGCGTATGGGAATATGAAGGCGGGGATGTGTGGTCTTGATAATAGACAGCGCAGACGTGGAAGTCGCGAAACGTCACGCTGAGTCGGTGAAGTGCACGAGACGGTTGGGGAAGACTAGCCGACGCTGTGCAGGTTGCAGGGATCAGCCGACTGATGATGTAGTTGGACTCAGGAGGAGAGAGCTCAGGAGCAGCAACGAGACGACGCGAGGAGTTTGAAGAAGAGATATATCCATTACATTCATAGTGTGACACGTTTAATATTACCATCGCGTACCTGCGACGTCGTGCCATGGATCCCTCTGCCGACGTACCTGGGTAACCGCGGGCAGCATCTGGGTGTCTGGGGGCCCAAGCTTGAACTTCAACCTCCAAGCTCCGTCACTGCTATACCTCGACGCCAGCACCCATAACCCTCCCCCGTAGCCCAGAGGACCCCACACAATACCGCCATCATGTCGCAAGTCCACGCCCTCTCCGACGACCAGGTACAACTCCCCACCCGCCTCAGCCCGCGGCAAGCTCCCCGCCAACTACGTCAACACGATAGCTAACATGCACCACCATGGCAGGTCGCCGGCGAGCTCAAGAAGATGACGGCCTTTATCCGCCAGGAAGCCATGGAGAAGGCCAACGAAATCCGCCTCAAGGCCGACGAGGAGTTTGCCATCGAGAAGTCCAAGCTCGTGCGCCAGGAACAGGCCTCGATCGACTCATCCTACGAGAAGAAGTTCAAGCAGGCCAGCATGTCGCAGCAAATCACCCGCTCCACCGTCTCCAACAAGAGCCGATTACGCATCCTCTCCGCCCGCCAGGAGCTGCTCAACCGCCTGTTTGAGAACGCCGAGAAGAAGCTGGGCGATGTTTCAAAGGACAAGAAGAAGTACCAGAGCGTCATGAAGGACCTGATTGTCGAGGGCGCCTATGCGCTCAACGAGGACAAGCTGCAGGTCAAGGTCCGGAAGGCCGACTACGACCTTACCAAGAAGGCTATCGAGGAGGCGCAGACCGAGTACAAGAAGAACATTGGCAAGGAAGTCTCCATTACTATTGATGAGAGCGACCCGCTGCCAGAGGGATCGTAAGTCTAGCATCGCTATGAACATGGGATATGACTGACTCCAGACAGCGCTGGCGGTGCCATGATCGTTGGTACAAACGGCCGTATCGACATCAACAACACCTTCCAAGAACGATTGAAGCTACTCGAGTCCCAGGCCCTGCCATCCATCAGGGTCACGCTCTTCGGTGAGAACGAGAACAGGAAGTTCCACGACTAAGAGGATAGTCGGGACGTGGAGTACGATGAGTTGGCTGGTGTGCCCGGCCGCAGTCACGGGTCAGCACAGACGAAGGTCCGCGTCAGCAGTGTCGGACCGAGGTTTTGATGAGTAGACTGTACATGCACGAGATCTTGTAGACCTCTCGGAACATTTAGCGAGTTTTATTCCATGCACATTATCGAAAGTAATGTTTGACTGTGATATCATTGAGCAACTGTTCTCGACCACTAACTACAGAACCTCGTATGTACTGCGAAGGAGGGTATAATATAACAAAAACATGCGCTCGGAGACGCTGTGTATCTTCGCATCAAGGAGTGGATATCATCAACACTCGTTACCCCGTAATAATCAAACGCCGGTGCTAAGTCATAGCATGCAAATGCTCGTATATACAACAAAGGAAATCGTCACCGTGCATCGAGTGCACTCATACGCGTTCGTAAACGCGATCCCACATGGGACTTCTCGTCCTCTTCTGCCCGCCACCCATGACATTTCTCAACGGCCACTCAGTCTTGCTGCTCTTCTTGAGAGACGAACTGGGGTCTGGGTATCGATCGAAGCTTCTGTGTCCACCATAAAGCTCATCGTCCTGATCAGTGTACCCGTTGTTTGAGTACTCAGGGCCGTAGTCTTCAAGGTATGCATATCCGCCCGCGAAAGGGTTCGAAGAGGGTTGCTGGTGGGTGATGGGAGAGATGGGTCCGGAATCGTCTGATTGGTATCCACGGCCAGAGTTGGTGGATAAGCTGGAGACGGCAAGACCGGAGGAACTACTTCCGCTGTGGTCGGCGCTGTTGTGTGCGAGTGAAGGGCGGAGCAGACCTCGTGATGCTTCGGCTGCTGGGCTGCTGATGGGACTGGTGGGAACGGGTTTGCGTTTTATGCTCGCCACGGCAGGGACGGGGAGCGTGTCTAAGGCCGACATACCGGGTCTCCGAGGACCTGTCTTGGGTGGTGAGTTATTGCGACCTAATACTGGCGAGTCTCCGTTCAATTCTTCGTCAGGTTCGGTCACTTCGGCCACTGAGTGCAGACTCGTATAGCTTGTTCGTCGACCGCGGGCACGATTCGACGAGTGGCTGTGGTAGAGTGCGGGCGCCAGAATAGGTGTGTGATTATCTTGCATTGCCATTGGTGTTGAAGCTGCTGGCATTGAATTACCATCATTGGGATGTGTTGTCCCTGCAGTCGCAATGTTGTTTGCCTGAGACGGTGTGGGTGCTGCAACCGGTGGAATCTGATGGCCATGGTAGGCTGTAGACATAGGAGCCGGATCATAGCCATCATCTTCCCAATTCATATCTTCAACGAAACGGCTCGTCTGGTGTGACGCGGGATTTAAAGGTCGCCTATGTTCGAAGTTCTCACCGCCCAGTCCTCGGTCCTGGAACGAGAAGCGGGGAATGAAGCCCGGAGATGACGGAGGTTGGCTGCCTTCGATGGATCTCCTTCTCTTTCGGCGCAAAACAAAGCAGCATACGAGTAGTAATGCGGCAAGTGCGAGTACTGCTAGTGGCACGCCCACACCAAGTCCGATCTTCTCGCGTCTAGTCAGGCCAGCGTCGCTTGAAGCGGGTGCCACAGGATCTGCGGTTGGATCTAAAGTCGCAGATGGACTTGCGGGAGAGGACGCAGATGTTGAGACGGTAGTCTCCGAAGACGACGATGACAATGACGATGAGGTCGCTAGTGTGGTCGAAAGCTCAGAAGAAGACCTAGAGGAGGATGCCGAACTGGTGGTTTCGCTCGAGGCACTGCTCGAAGATGCCGTAGACGTGGGAATCGTGCTCAAACTTTCGGATGCTGATATCGCAGAGGATGGCACTGCGCTATTCGATAATGACTCAGATATCGATGAGTCGGTATTTGAAGCTGTCTCTGTGGGTAATGCCGTTGGTGATGCGGTGACATCAGTTGGCAATGCTTCGCTCGCAGGTGGTGCTGCCGTCGCAGGCCCGAACTCTTGTATGAAGTAGGATTGTATGTCGTATGGCAGCTCTTCGAACCATTGCGGTCGGTTGTCGTCGAGGAATTCCTCCCAGAGTATGCTCGAGACAGCGGGTATGTTTGTCGCAGCGATCTGTCTTAGCGAAAGTGGTAGTGCAGTAATAAGCACTTGCAAGATCTCGATGCTATTGTCAATGTCAGTGCAGTCAAATTTTATGTACATCAAGGACTCTTACGCATCAGGATCCTGTCTATGTTGTAGCGATCGAACATCTGGTCTTGGTGCGGGTGTGATGACCGGCACTGCAGCGCCGTACACCAAACCCACCACATTCCCCAAGACCAGCCAATTCCATCCTCTTAGCGAATGCATGTATGCGCGAACGAGCGAGTGTGGTAAAGAAAGCAGTAATAATAAATCGCAAATAGCGGAGAGTCAATGTTCGCAATGATGCGTCAGCGCTTCATGTCTGGCAACAATAGTACGAACAGTCAGGAAACCAGTGCCCAGCGGCAGCGGTGGCCATACTTTTTGACTGTTCACACCCATGTACATTGTCGCATGCCGTCGACGTCCATAATTCGTTGGAGCAAGCAAAGTCGTCGCAGTGTGGCGATTGATCAAGAGATCGTCCACACAGCCCACCGGTCTCGTTACTGCTCTTGGTAGAATGGCATGCAGATCAGGGTCCTGACAGCCGGTTATGAGGTCGCGCACCCGCAGATTCGCCCCTCACTAGCCACACTTCGGATGACACATTTGGTCGAATCGCATGTCGAGCTGCCGTTTATCCTGGCACGGATGGTTGTGGTGGAGCGATCCGAGTGGGTCAACGGCTGCGTGTGGCTGGTGTGATGCTGGGGGGTTCGCTTCGCTGCCGAACTGGACAACGCTGTGCCGGCGAAGCGATGCCGCGTATACGTTTGATGCGATCTTTGCAGGGAAAGATTTGCATCTAGAGACAACGTGACGTTCGACAGAGATTCTTTTTATTTTTGGATCAGTTGGTTCCGGAGGACGAATGCCGACCAATGGCTGTTAGGTGCGTGTGTTGTTTGGGTGACTCCTTCCATCTCGCGTCGGCTGCGCGCAGACGCGCTCAATGAGGAAATCACCGTTCACCGTCACTATAGTCGCAACTGCTGTCTACGTCTGCTGAATTTTCTTTAACCTAACCTCACACCACCCGACTATGCCCAACCTCTAACTGTACCATTATCACTATTTACACGTTGGCGCAACGCGACCCGGTCATGCCAGGGAATCATGTCTTCGTACCTGCGCTATACCACCGACGAATGCGGCATGCGCGTTCCTGCGCGAGTACCTCGAGAGCATACGCGTAGAATTCGCACTCAACCACAAGCAATCGCTTGGATAAGGCATTCAACTCCTGTACCCCCTACTCATTCAAGTTGGTCGTAAAACCAATTATGTTCAGTCACGGCCCTAATCCTCAAGGCTTTGCTTTCCTACCTTCAACTGACTCAGATACTTCAGGACCTCGCCGCTAAGCACCATGTACACCTACGACGATACTTATCGCGACGCGACTTACGACTCAGCCATATCGAAGTATAGCCAATGCGACAGATGCTACTGGATCGCCCAGTACCAACGTACAAATTCGCCATCATTCAAGCATGCTCGCTGCACCTACTTGCAAGTCATCAATGTCTGCGCATCAGAACCACCATATCATTTGACTTGCACATCCAAATGTACCTCGATCTCAGGATCAATCATTACGAAGGGCAAGCGAATGAGTGAAATCGAGGAACCAAGCCTGTCACGCTAGCAGCAGAGGGTCTTGTCTGATACGTGGTCTTAGTTACCGAAATGAGTTGGCGCCCAACATTTTTCTACCTTCCAACCCCACCTTTGGTCGCCTCTTTCGAGCCACGCAACAGCTACGACGACGCTGTTTTGGGGATATATTCTGCGCTTTTTGACCTCATTTCATCAAGCAAGGCTCGTTGGTGTAGTTGGTTATCACGTCAGTCTAACAACGGCCGTCAAACGCCAGTTAGGACACTGAAGGTCCGGAGTTCAAACCTCCGATGAGTCATCATCGGCGCTCGCAAGAGCGCATCGAACATTTTTGCCTTTTCCCCAGGCTTTGGGTATCTTTTTGCGCGGACAGCCCCCAGATGACCAATTTGAGCCGATTGAACTCATAAATTGAGGAAGATGCTGTTGACGATTTTTTTAGGTCCCCTTTATCTCCTCTAGCCGGCGGTCTTATACTCTACTTGATATAACACTCTTGGGTGCTGTTGTTGGGTGGTGGGGGCTCGTTGGCCCGTCTACCTCAGTATCGCATCGGCGGCGAGCCTGTAGCTTGTACGTAACATGTGGATGACTGTTCAGATTCTAGCTGAGAACGCGACTTGCAAGAAGTGCATACGAACACGCATTCGCTAGGTACGAAATTAAGAAGATTGGACGCTGCATCGCTGATCTGAGCGAAATCACACGCCAACTCGCACAGTACCTTCTACTTGGTCTATGAGGTCAGGTCGGGATGTCGATGCTAGGCAAGCATTTTCTCTATATCGGACTACTTTCGCAGAATCTGCGCAACAACTGCATGCAGTCTATTTACATTGGCCTCCCCACCTGACTTGCTTCTCCAGGCCACAATACCATCTGGTCTTACTAGAACGACTCCATTACCTCCTACCTCTGAAAGCTGATCCCATTTCCCATCAACATCTTCTAATTCCCTACCGTCAATAGCAACAACATTGATTAGCTCATTTCCAGCCTGGCTCCAAGTAATAGGGTCTGCCGTAAAGAGAACGAAACGGTCCAAGCACAAAAGATCGAGGGACGAAACGACATCATCTCCCTTCTTCAGCCAAATGTGGGGAAAGTGATGCCCAGGGATGGTCGAGGGGTGGTATTCGGTGACCTTCAGCTTCCCATTCTCGTCCACTTGGCCACCGTGAAAGTTATCCCGCCCCTCGTTGTCGATATCAGCAGTTGGATAAAACCAGCCTATTTCTGCCCCTGGTGCCTTGAACTCTGTATCGAGGGCCTCTTGCGCTCTCTGCACATCCGCATGCATCTGAGCATAGCCTGGATGGCTTTTGTCAAGCAGGACTTGAATGGCTCTCTTGTTCTCTTCGACTGAAGAGTCTTTGCTGATACCCAATGCCCTGTCCATGATCAAGCTGTGACTGCGCATATTAACCAGGCTCGATTGCGCTACTCTTTCTCCAACCGGGCGGCGTTCTTCATCGTATGTGTCCAGAAAGTCGCCGTTCCCAAGTTTGCCCTGGAGCATCAAAGCTAGCTTCCAAACCAAGTTGTTAGCATCTTGAATACCCGTGTTGAGTCCGAGAGCACCCCATGGCGGTAGACGATGCGCCGCATCACCAACAAGGAAAGTGCGGCCGTTTATACTGCGATACTGCTCAGCTGAGATAGCGTTGACAGACCAGTGACTCAAACTCATGACTTCAACTTCTAAGTCTGGGATGTTTATGCTCTTCTTTAATCGACTAATCATTGCGTCGTTATCGAATCGGACGGGGTCGTCCGGGAGGATGCCGCATGCAAACATCCACTCTTCTGTGTCGGGATTGTTGGGGTATGGGCCAAGGTGGTACATATAGCCAGTTCCAATACTTCCGCCCATCTCCGGATTGATGAACCAAGTTATAAACGCTTCTGGTTCGGGATGTTTGAGGGATATTGGTGCTCGAATGTGTGCAGTGACCATGTCGACTATGTTCTTCTCTCCATGCAGTTCAATACCAAGTTTGTTTGTCACCAAACGCCCGCCATCAGCTGCAATAACATACGAAGCCCGTATAGTCTCGCTAGGTCTAGATTTGTCACGGAATTCGATCCGTAACTCCACGTAGTCCTTCTTCTCCACGATGTCGGTAACTTCGGCACCATATTGCACACCGCTCGGATTCAACTGCTTGGCCTTTCGTGAGAGAATGGGCTCGAGGCGTATTTGTGGCAACGTGAGATAGCGACTAGGACTTGCTGTCCTATACTCGTCGGCATGTTTCCCACCACCCCATGCGTCGCGCGAGACTATCTTGGTACCAGTCGGTCCCAGGGAAGTGAACCACGCCGTCTTGGAACATGTGTTCGGAGGTGCTGCATTGGCAATAATCTCCTGCTCCACTCCCATCTGACGGAATATCTCGCCGGTCCGTTGGTTTAGGCCGCATGCTTTGGGGTGGATCGAAGTGCTAAGGTGACGCTCGAAAAGTACATGTGGAATGTTGCGAAGGGACAATAGGATCGAGGAAGAGAGGCCGACAGGGCCTCCCCCTATAATGACAACTGGATACTGCTGAGGACTTGCCATTTAGTCCCGGTAAGATTGATGGACAGCAACGAACGCTGGAACACATGAACTTTACAGCGAGAATCCCCGCTGTCTTTGACGTTTCGGCTCCACATTCCCCTCCCGAGGTCTTTACCCTTCCAGGGTTGTTACCAACTTTACTAGCTTGATGTGGTAAGCATGTGGTATCTCACACTACCTACGTCACTCTCGGTTCAATATGGAACGTCAAAACGGCGATCTTCCAGGCTTCGCGCTCGAGCTTCGAGTCTTGTCGCGACGGACTTTGGGTGTGTGGGTGTGTACATTGGTGGGGTCGATAAGTGGATATCGGTAATTTCAAGACGGCGGTCGGTCACGATGAGCGCCGATTCTGTCCAACATTCCGCCTGCTACTTTGCCCGCTCTAATCCACTCATCCATCACACGTGTGTCGAAAGGATTCATGGCATATAAGAAGTATCTTTGATAAACGATTGGTTGAGGAAATCTATCCATCCTCTATGTCTCTTTGTTTGCCTAAAAAGCGGCAGAAATATGTACAAGGAACGTAAAGCTATACGATCTGGATTTTTGTTCGAATGTTTTCACAACGCTCAGAAGTTGCATTTCGCCAAAACATGGCTTAGTATGAGCCGTAAGAGCCAGTGCTCTTAGCACTGTTTCCGTCAACGGTAATAGTAACCGTCTGCTTGACTGTCTCGGTGACGATAGGT